CCATTTCCACATTTCTGCTTTCAATTGAACACAGCTGTTAAGTAGATACAGATATGTGCCATGTTAACATGTGAACTGCATAGCGTGACCTTCCCTATAAAGCGTTGTCGTTGTATAAAAATAGAAATCTGCCAATGTACAAAACAGGTAGTTTAGACCAAACAATTGTATACCATTTGACCTCAAAAGTCTGGATTAGATTAAAATCCGAGGGTCCTGTTGTATAGTGGTTCATTACGCTGCCTTTACACGGCAGAGGTCGCGAGTTCGATCCTCGCCGGGATCAGCTTTTGTCCTTTTTTTAAGTGCACTTGCTGTTGCTGTTGTTGTTATATTAAGTAGTTCTAATATTTTACTTCAGAGGTTGGCAAACAAGTCTGTTCTTATTTTCCTTTTCCTTATTGTGGATTTCCTGTATTTTTATTCCTTATAACTTACTGTTTTGAAACCCATTGCATTGAACCTTGTAGAATATATCATTATCATTATTATTACACACTGAGAGAAGGGAAATGGATGACGACGTTCCACCGTCAATCGCACTCCGAAGCTTCACGTACAGCGGGGGTGGTGGTAATGGTAATAGTGGCGGCGGGAATCGAGCAAGCCGAGTATTCCAGCAACTGCATGCGACCTCCGGAAGCACGGCAATCCCCGGCACACAGCGTGTACAGCTATTGACACCGCCACCGGTGTTATCGTCGTCGCTGGGAGCGGCATCGTTGTTGCAGCCGGCTGTGGTTTCGCCAGCATCGTCGTTGGCCTGGCCTCTGCGGCGGAACAACACAATAGCAACGGGGTACGGCGACCCGGCATCGTACATCAGCATGGTGCCATCGCAGCAGCAGCGGATGCAGCAGATGCAGGGCCCGCCACCACCGCAAGGGGAGGACGATGATGACGAGAGCGAAAACGCACCGCTGCTGCTTCCGGGACAAACACAGACGCAGGCGCCGCGGCTATTGGCCAAGGCCCGGGCACGAGTACGAACAGTCGTAGGCTGGCTGGTGCCGCTGGAACCAGCGCAGCAAACGGGAGTATTCAAGGCAGTGCTCGCGTACGCGCTGGCCGCGCTGTTCCCATTTGTTCCGTTTCTGCGCGAATGGCTGGGAGACCCGGACTACATGGCTCCGCACCTGGTGACGAACGCGACCATCTGGCTCCACGCAGCGCGGACCCGCAGCGCGCTGGCGGAGGGCGGACTCGTGGGCGTGATCTGGGTCTGTGTTACCAGCTGCGTGGTGTACGCGGCGCTTTATTCAGCCGAGTACTTGCATTGCAGGTACGCCGTGGTTCCGGCCGGCGGCATCTCGTCGGTACCGGATGGAGGAGGAGAGCTGCCCGACGCGCTGCCGCTGGCAATACAGAGCAAGGTTGTCTGTCTCGTGGTGTTCATCTTCGGATACAGCTGGTGCCTGGCGTTCTTCAAGGCAAACATCAACAGGGCTTCGGTGGGGACCGGCACGGCGATTGCAAACATCGTGCTCTACCTCGTGATGCTGCGCGAGGCGCCGATCGTCAACTACCGAGCAGCCGCAACAGGCAGCTGTCCGAGTCTGAGCAGTTGGCAGCAGAATCACCCGCAGCAGCGTCATCGGGCAAATGTGGGCGATGGCGGCGGGCGGATGCCGTGGCCCGGCGAGGACGAAGACAGTCTGGCCGAGAGCGTTGGCAAGAAGGCGGAGCACATTCTGGTGGCGGTGCTCACAGGCATGGCGATTTCGCTGGCGGTCGGGTGGTTTGTGCGGCCAACCACGTCGCGCGCCCTGCTGCGCCGGAGACTGGGGTCGGCGTTCGGTTCGTTCCGCGACATCCTGCCGCAGCTGCTGGCGCCGATCGTGGGCGACGGTCCAGATGGTCCGGACCATCCCCAGGGCCGCCGCCAGTCGGCCGGCAAGCTGCGCGACGCTGGCGCAAAGCCGGCGGAGCTCAAGTCGGCGATCCACCGGCATTGGGAGCAGCTGCAGGCGCTGAAGACGCAGCTGGCGGCAGAGTCGCTGGATCCAACGGACCGCTGCGTGTGGGCGCGGCGCGCGCAGGTGGGTGCGCTGGTCGGGCGGCTCGAGGAGCTCGGCCTGCGGCTCAGCAGCATGGGCTCGGGCCTCGAGCTGCTGCACCAGGCGGCCGGGCGGAGCGGCGGAGCGCAGCAGGAGCAGGAGACGTATATGGCGGTTGTGCGTGGGATCCGTGGGCCCGTGGTGCAGCTGTCGCGAATGTGCGACAAGGCGCTGATGGCGATGCACGATATGGTGGAGGTTGCCTACTCGGCTGAGGCGGAGGCGGAGTCCGAGACCGAGACCGAGACGGTTGTGCGCAAGATCGAGCGACTGAGGCTGGAGATGACGCACACGACGCGCGAGTTCCACGCCAACTACAGCGCTGCCGTGCGCGCGCTAGACGAGGAAGATGGAGGGACTGGCGCTCCAGCAGCAACAGCAGCAGATCCAGCTCCAGCTCCAGCTCCAGCTCCGGACGCGCCCGAGGAGCTGCTGTTTGCGGTGCACTTCTTCGTGTTCAGTCTGCGCGAGTTCGCCGACGAGCTGTACGACACGTTGCCGCAGGTGGAGGCAGCCTGCGTGCCGGCCCCGCGCGCCCGGCTGACAGGCGACGCAGTTGTGCCCGGCTTGCAGGCGCTGGCATCGTGGGCGGCGCGGCATTTCCGGGCGCTGTGGGACACCGGCGCAACAAGCGATCTGGAAACGCGGTACGAGTTTGCGCAGTTCGCAGATCCGCGGTCGCTGCACACTCCGCGCCCAGCAACTCGCTTCCAGCGCCTGGCGCACGCAGTCTGGCGCGTGCTGATGTGGTCGCGCCAGCTCAACGCCCGCTTCGCGACCAAGTACGCGCTGCTGGTGACGGCGCTGTCGCTTCCTTGCTTCTGGAGCATGGAGGTCTACACTGCGTTCCGCCGCGAGCGACTCGACTGGATGGTGATCTCGGCCGCCGCCATCATGGTGCCAACCGTCGGCGGATCGCTTGTTGTCAGCGTCTACCGCGTGCTGGGCACCTGCGCCGGCGGCGCCGCAGCGTTTGCAGCGTACGAGGCGACCAGCCGTGCGCCGGCGCTGATGTACGCACTGGTTGTTCTGTTCTCCGTGCCGTGCTTCCACATCATGCTGCACGGCCGGTACCCGAAGATCGGCCAGTTTGCGCTGGTGACGTTTGGCGTGGTGCTCATCAACAAGCATGTTGCGCGCGAGGACAGGCTGGAGGGGATCGGCCCGCTGGCCGTGCGCCGAACGGCGTCGGTTGCGCTGGGCGTGGTTGCCGGCATGCTGGTGACGATGTACGTCTGGCCCTTCGAGGCGCGCGTGCGAGTGCGCAGGGCGCTGAGCTGGTGGCTGCTGACTGCGTCGCTCCTGTACGAGCGGCTGTGGAGCACGACGCTCTGGCAGCAGCCCGACCCAGGATCCAACTCTGGAGCTGGACCCGGCTCCGACGAGTGGGATCCGCTGGCCACCGCCGGCGACTACCTGGAGAGCGAGCTGGAGCTGCAGGCGTCGCTGGTGGAGATCCGCGCGCTGCTTGCGCTGACAGCGAACGAGCCGCGGCTGAAGGGCCCGTATCCAACGCACACGTACGAGCGTATCACCAACGCCTGCCAGCGGCTGCTGGATGCGATGGTTGCGGCGCGGTGGGTAGTTCTGCCGGCGGAGGAGACGCAGGCGCCGTCGCAGGCGCTGTCCCAACCGCTGTCTCTGGCGGCGGTGGAGCGCGAGCACCGCGACTCGCTGGTGACGCTGTCGATGTATGTACTGGCGTCGGCGCTTGTGCTGAAGACGCCGCTGCCAGCCGTGCTGCCGCCCACGCAGTCGGCGCAGCAGCGCGTGGCAAGAGCAATGCAGAGCGTGGTGGATCCTCACAGCGGAGAAGACAGCAGCAGCAGCAGCAGATGCGACTCTCCCGATCCGCTGGCGGCGGGCGCGGCGCGTGCGCGGTATGTGTTCTACTACGCGCAGGTGATGCTGGCGTGGGAGGTTGTGCGCGAGCTGGACATCATTGGCGGCCAGATGCGCGCGCTGTACGGATCGTACTAGCGAGAGCTGCCTTTTCCAGAGTCAAGTAGATGGGATAGATATAAATAAATAATCAGACAGAGAAACTCAGCCAGGCTGCTAGATGTCCACGTTGCGGTCCTTGTGGCTGGCGCGCGTGTCGCGGGTGTCGTGCGCGACAAGGCGGTTGAGCGCCGCCACGTACGCGTTTGCCGACGCCGTGATGATGTCGACGTTTGTCGCCAGCCCAGAGAACTTTGGCACTGCGCCGCTGGGCGCCAGCGCTGCCGCCGAATCCGCCGCGTCTCCGCCTCCAGCGCGCGCAATGCGCACGGCCACCTTGCCCAGCGTCTCCTGGCCCTCGCTTGTGGCCGACACGTTGAAGCTGAGCAGATCGATCGCCAATCCCGTGATCCGCTGGATCACCGAGAACACCGCCTCGATCGGCCCGTTTGCCGCCAGCGCCGCATCCGTGCGGTCGGCTGCCTCGACGGCGTCGTGCAGCGTCACCGTCGCCGTCGGCGTGACGCCGATTCCGGTGAACACCTGCATCTGCTTGAGCGTGAAGCGCGGCGGATGCGCGCTGTTGCTGCTGCTGCTGCTTTCTTCAGCGATAGCTTCTTCTTCAGCTGCTGCCGCTGTTCCGCTGCTGCTGCTGCCGCGCGCGTCGGCTACCAGCGCATGCAGATCGCCGTCGGTGACGCCGGTCTTCTTGGCGTCGGCCAGCTGCTTGAACTTGCCAAACGCCGCCTGGAACTGCGCATCCGACAGCGCCGCGCCGGCGTAGCCGAGCTCCTCCAGCTTTGTCTTGAATGCGTGGCGGCCCGAGTGCTTGCCCAGCGCCAAGTTGCCCGACGTGACGCCGACGTCCTCGGGGCGAATGATCTCGTACGTCTGCTTGTTCTTCAGCACGCCGTCCTGGTGGATTCCGCTCTCGTGGAGGAACGCGTTGCGCCCGACAATCGCCTTGTTCGCCTGCACCGCCATTCCCGACAGATCCTCCACCATGCGCGACGTCGCGAAGAAGAGGCGCGTGTTGATTGTGTGGAACACCGGATACGCGCCCGGATGCGTGTGCACATTCATCACCACCTCCTCCAGCGCCGTGTTGCCTGCGCGCTCGCCGATGCCGTTGATAGTCACCTCGACCTGCCGCGCGCCGTTGGCAACGCCTGCCAGCGTGTTGGCCGTCGCCAGCCCAAGGTCGTTGTGGCAGTGCGTCGAAAACGTCACCTTGTCGGCGCCCGCCGTGTTCTCGCACAGATGCTTGATCAGCGACCCGTACTGCGCC